TTTTTAGACTGTATGTTTCTAATGCTCATTTCAACTGAGGTGTTCCTATTCTAAAGGAGATAAAATGCCAGCATTTTTCTCTCTGAGAAAAAAATTTATGGTTCTATTTTGTATACGAATGTAAGAGGAGGCAGGAGGTTTTAAGGAAGAATGGGGAATGGGAATAAAGTGGTAAAGGAGGACAAAGGAGCAGATCAGATGGTCGATTTTGTGAAATGAACACAGGCTACCACAGGCTCCAAAGCAATGGAGACAATACATGGTGGGCTAGCACATCAAAATGCCCCAAGATAGGAACATTCTCTTTTCCTAGCTTCATTTTCTAATGTATGAGAAATTTGACCATGAGAAATGAGATCAGTGCTGTGGGTACCTGGGATGGGCTACAAAAGCCTTTGCAGTAGGAGAGATTTGAACAAGCAAGATAGACATAGACTCTGGGTGGATGCGCAGAAGTTCAGAATGCAGATAGGACAGTGTCCATGAAAGGCTCTGCTGATCAGCTCTCTGATGGAAATGGGCATGCCAGTGAGGCTAGGTCTGGGGATCACTTCCACTGTTCCTTACAAAAAGTTGGGCTGTGTTTTGCCCTTGGCCTGCAACTAGGCAAGGATCTCATCTTAACCTCCTGTGGGAGGTGGGAAGACCCTTGAAAGGAATTATGAGGCCTGGCCCCTTCCTCTTTCTACTTCAGTGCTGGCCACTGGAGAAGCAGGCTGTATCACACTTGGTCATTGAGAAGGAAATAGCTCATAGTGTCAATGGAAAGAGCTAACATTCTTTCCATAGAGAATCTGCTAAGTGGATAGAAGAAAAAAAAAAAAACAGCAAGATTTGAACTCTGGATTGCATCTAAAAGAGATCAGTAAATTAGCTGTTGAGACATGAGGAGTTTTGATGTTGCCCAAATCCCAGAAAGCATTCTAACACCCTGAGCCAAATGTAAAATGATTGTTAATCCCCCTTCCTCAACCTGGTGGGGTGTCCATCTGGAGCTTGACCCATTCCTCTGTGGTAAACCTCTTCACACAGCTGTCTTCCACATGCCAGGAATCGGGATCTGCAGAGAACACAGCACAGCAGAATCTCTCCACTCTCAGTGCACAGACATAGGAACACACAGCTCCAGGTCTGTGGACTGGGATGAATTTGCATGTGTACTTTATCTTCTCCTGCTCCTCACAGAAGTGAGTGACAGGCAGCTGTTGGATGCACTTCTCTATTTCACTCTTTAGATGATCGAGATCGCTCCTCTCTGCTTCAAAACCAATGATTTGCTGGTTGTCCCCATCTAAGCCAATGAACAAATATCCCCCGTCAGTGTTTGCAAATGCAGACACAGTTTTAGGGAGAATCTCTATAATCTTTTCTTTAGGGGACATTTTAACTTCAGCAAGTTTGGATTTAGTGAAACAGAATGTCTCCTTGTAAGTCAACTCTTCCTTGTTAAAAAATGTGGCAAGAATTTCATCAGAGTCCAATTTTCCAAGCAAACTTTGTCTTAAACATGATTTCAGTTCAGGATTCTTTATGATTTTGAGGAAACGCACTGTATCAGGCATTTTCAGTTCATCTGAGAATGAAAAGCTTCTCATATAAAAATTAGTTTTCAAGGTGAGGACACAATGACCAAAGATATC